ATCCATATGCATTAAGGCTATCTTGTCATCAAACTAACTGAGTTTTTACATGAATTCTGGCAATGGAGTGTTTTCCAAATGTTGGGTCTGCAAATGGATCATGTAAGCAGATCTGTATGCCTGAGTCCCACCTACAGGACAGGTCTCCTGGAGGTATTCTGAAAATATCCTATTTCCACCCACCCACCCCACCCCCAAAAAACTAAAAACAAATTGTCAAAAGGTCTTATTCAAAGAACAAGCTGCCATCTTTGATAGACCAGTTATCCAAATTAGGATAGGCAACTTGCATGGAGACTAAGAACTGCAAATCAGTAAAATTCTAGTCTATGAGGGTGAAGATCTGTTCCCCAAGCTTATTGGTTGATTTCTGAACGTTTCATTACCAAGCTAGGTAACCTCTTCAGCGGAGTTTAAGGGATGTCCGTATCAGTGTTCTTCTGTTTATAAGGGCTTCAGGGCTTCACAAGACCCTCACTTGAAACACACCTACATCTGAAGCACTTATGAACAGAATAACATTGACACGGACATCTTCTAAACTCCGCTGAAGATGTTACCTACCCTGGTAATGAAACATTCAGAAATCAACCCACAAGCTCAGACAACAAAACTTCGCCCTCATCCCACACCCAAGCTACAGACATTCACCACTATTGCAATTCTAGTCTATTTCTTGTTTATGCAATGAGGCAGGATCCATAGTCTGTTTTGAAACAAATCCCTAGGGGGAAAAAATATAACCAAACCACTTATGCATACAACTTCATCCTACCCATGGAGCTTTTGTGCAATCTTCTCCATGTTCATAACTACTTGTGCAAATGACTCAGGGCCCTTTTCTTTATGCAAATTTTTCCAGCATCACTTTGTATGAATATCCCTAAGGCAGTTTTTTAAACATTCATGTTCCTGATGTAAACTGTTTTTTTTTAATGTATTGGTTTACTAGTTGCTGTTGTTTGTAGGCACACAACTTCCAAAAGCATTTTCAGATGTGTTTTTAATGGACCTTTGGCCCAAACAGCATTTAAAGTAAGCCAAACGAGACCCCACTTCCTTCTAGCCTTGAAGATGTTACTTAATCTGGTAACGAAATGTCTGCAAGCAGACAACCAAGTTTAGAGAGCACCAAGGTTTCCATCAAAGTCAGATGAGACTCAACATTGCAGCCTTAGACAAATATGTTGGTGCACACAATCCTCCTGTTTTTTCTGTCTCTAATACCCAGTGAGCTCTCGCAGAACCATCTATTCCAGCGGTTCCCAACCTTTTCTATACCCCACACCCCTAGAACGCTTCTGATATATTCCCATACCCCTTACAAAAGTTCAAAATAACAGCAGTGAATTATACATATACACTATAATTTTGAAACTTCTAAACCCAAGTTTTTGCACTCCCTGGAATATCATCTTGCACCCCCAGGGGGTGCAAGCATCCCCGGTTGGGAACCCCTGATCTATTCAAATCCCTTTGCTTAGCTTCTATGAGACTCTCCTTGACCACTAGAGAGCACATTAAGCAAAATCCTCCTGCCAAGTGAGACACTGCAGTTAAACTCACATTTGATTATCTATTCTAAACTGTCTGGGGAATCCTGGGAGTTGAAGCCCACACCTCTTCAAGTTGCCAAGCAATATGGTTTATTTCATTCATTCATTCATTCATTTATCAATGTTACATAGCCACCCATCCTCCCTAAAGGGAACTCTTTGATGGCACTGCCTAAGGACCCAGCTGACTTCACATGTTACTACATCTGGGTTGTAATAATTGGGAGGCCCACTAGATGGCGACAAAGAGATAAAGAAAAGGCCAACTGGTCATCTGGCAGGAGTCTGGATGTTTAAATCTCAGGTTACTACAGTAGTATCATCTTTATGTCCACTTTAGTTCAGGAGTGGCATGCTAAAATCTTCTATGCCTCCTTTAGACTCAACTTCACCACCTCATTCAAAACAATTCCACTGGATTAGACAAAGGGGTTGTAAAATCCAAAAGAGACATTTAATCTAGTAGTTAAGGCATCAGGCTACAAACCAGGAAGGCATGAGTTTTAGGCACAAAGCCAGCTGGGTGACCTTGGGCCAGTCATTCTCTCTGAGCCCGAGGAAGAAGGCAATGGCAAACCACTTCTGAAAATCCTTGCCAAGAAAAGTCCAGGCTGTTGTCAGGAGTCAAGAGTGACTCAAAGGCACCAAAATATACAATATAATCCAGGAAAAAATGGATTATTGACTTGATAAAAGTCTACGAGTGCATTTGAATGATTTTCTACAGGGTCACTTTGCAGGTTATCGCAACCCTTAAGGGGCAAAATGCCATCTGTGGCTTAAAGTAACTGGTTTCCACCTCTGAAACCAGTTTGGCTAGCTAATAAATCTCCTTGATTATTGAGCAAGGAAGTAAGAAAATCAGGGACTTCCCCAAATTGAGAAGACCACTCAAACATCTAGAGAATGGCTGCCTTGGCAATAGCAGAAGTGCACGCTGGGATTGGGATCTATGAAATAAAGCCTGGCAACACTTCTTGCTTCATAGTTTGAAGATGAGAGGCTTCTTTTAATTTTATCCACCTCCCAGCGATGAATGTTAGCAATGAGTAAACTTGTCCATTTGAATTTATTTCAGTTTTTTCATTACTGCATGTCACTGTAACTTCGAGAATGTCTTAACTTGTTTCTATTGGGTTTTATGAATATTGAAGTAGAAAAGCAATATAGGAAATTAATATTATACGTAGAAACTGCAGCAAGATCACCGTATGTAGAAAGACAGGAGAATAATGAAATACCCACAGTGGAAGATTAGATTATAAACTTTACAGAACTTGCAGAAATGGTGAAGCTAACCAGTTTAGTCAGGGGGAAAAAATGACAAACACTTTTTCTGAAAGACTAGAAACCTTATACACACTTTTTGTTGAAACAAGAAAAGACTGAATTGATGATTTATAGATTTGGGGATTAAAAAGAATTAAAAGGGGGGAATTTATAAAGTAAGATGAAGAAGAAAAAGTCCAGAGTCACTTTGCAGAGTGAGATGAGAGGCATATAAATTTAACTGATTAATTGATAAATGAAAAGAGAAGGAGAGGAAAGAGTAAGATGGTCACTACTCAATGGAAAGAAGGACAAAAATCATTTACTTTTTCTTTTGTTTCCTTTGATTCTTCGTATTTGCATTGTGTTTAAACATTCTAGTAAATAAATAGAACGTTTACCTTAACATTCACACTGTCCCACATGTGAAGTTTTGCATGAATTCTGCCCAAGGTGCAGAGCTTTTGAAAACATCTTTCCCTAGTTTCATGTTTTAGGGTGCATTAATTTTAGGCAGAATAGAAAGCATTCTTTTTTTTCATTCATACTTTCCAGACTCAAGTCCTTTAGTCCCACCGAGAAAACCTTTTCATATAAAAAGTGAATATGTATTTGCAACAGTAGCTCTTACCTTGTGGCCTAAGAATGCACTTTTAATTGCTTGTTGTCTTGATGTTCTTAATTTGCCTAGGAACAACAAAAGTGGACAGAAGCTTTAATAAGTTATTTATTGAGCTGTTTTCCTGCTGCCTACCTTCCAACCCACCTTTAAAATACTTGTCTTCTTAATACCTTCCATAGCCCTTCCTTCCTTCCTTCCTTCCTTCCTTCCTTCCTTCCTTCCTTCCTTCCTTCCTTCCTTCCTTCCTTCTCCAATTCCAATTCTAAACTAATCAAGGAGAGAAGCAACCTAGAACTAAGAAGAAATTTCCTGACAGTTAGAAAAATTAATCAGTGGAACAGCTTGCCTCCAGAAGTTGTGAATGCTGTAACACTGGAAGTTTTAAAGAAGAGATTGGACAACCACTTGTCTGAAATTGTATAGGGTTTCCTACCCGAGAAGAGGGTTGGACTAGAAGACCTCCAAGGTCCCTTCCAACTCTTCTCTTCTCTTCTCTTCTCTTCTACTCTACTCTACTCTACTCTACTCTACTCTACTCCACTCCACTCCACTCCACTCCACTCCACTCCACTCCATTCACTATTCTATTCTATTCTATTCTATTCTATTCTATTCTATTCTATTCTATTCTATTCTATTCTATTCTTATTAAGCAAGATCACTAATTCTTGCACTCTACCTTTGGCAACTGTGGTTATCAACTGGACCTCAATATACTATACTCTCCTTTCTATGTCCCCTTGGTTTGCAGAGCTTTTGTGCTAGGAACTCCAGGCATAATCCTTACAGAGGTTCCAACTATTAAGATTATGAGTCAGCAAACTGATTCCTGCCTACTATATTGGACATCATTTCCCTCCAGCTTGGTTGGACTAGAAGACCTCCAAGGTCCCTTCCAACTCTGTTATTCTCAGTTCTATGTTCAAAGTGATCATTGGCAAGGATTGTAGAAAATCAGAAATCAAAACATTGGGAAGAGATGCTACGCTTATATCCATCCTTTCAAATCCATCTCTTTCCATTTCTGGGGTGAAAAACTGTCTAGGTTTGCCCGATGGTAGGATAGGCAGCATATAAATGAGAGAGGGGGGATGGATAGATAGATAGATAGACAGACAGACAGACAGACAGACAGACAGACAGACAGACAGACAGACAGACAGACAGACAGACAGACAGACAGACAGACATCAGGACATACTTTTATATTTCTATTATTTCTATGCCACTCAATTCCCAAAAGAGTCTGGGTGGCATACAATAACTCAGAAGTGAAATCTGAAGAATTAAAAAGGGAAAACAAAAAACCCAGAACTACGCAAAAAACCCAAAGGGCAAAGGAGAAGAGGAAAAGCAAGGATAAACATACAGGCAACGTGACTGAAGCTGCTTCAGTTCAGAAGCAATGCTGTGATCTCGGCCTCTTCTTTTTAAGTTGGAGTTACTTCCGGAGGAGGGAGGGTGAGCAGGAGGGTTCGCGCTGACTTGATCCCACCGCAATGACAGCCTCTTCCCTTTTTTGAGGTTTCCTGCCTAGAGCTACTTCTTTTCCTGTTCTCTCGCTCTTCAGACAGATGTCACCACTGCCCCTCTAGTCCCAACGCCCTGAGTCTTGGACGTTGATTCCCAACCAGAAAGTCTTCAGTGTCAACGGCATCTCCCAACTTGGGAACATCTAATATGGCTCAGTTAGGATTCCCAATCCTCCCCATTCTCCTGGGTTTGACCTGGCCTCAGTTGGGTGAGTTGGATCAACCATTTCTAGTCTCCTTCTCTATCTTGGCCTCCTTTGGATCTTGGGATCACATTTTTATCTCCTTTGACTTTCTGGTTTAGAAAGAATTCACCTTTTATTGACTACCCCTTGATGAATATAACATCCAGGCATTTTCTCAGACTGTATTTTAAGAGGAAAAATGTGTTAAAGCACATAGATCCTTCTCACTAGTCTTCTGGGGATGGTGGTGGCCTCCCAAAGCCACATCAGGAGATGGATTTAGGAATTCTTTCTTCTTCTTCTTCTTCTTCTTCTTCTTCTTCTTCTTCTTCTTCTTCTTCTTCTTCTTCTTCTTCTTCTTCTTCTTCTTCTTCTTCTTCTTCTTCTTCTTCTTCTTCTTCTTCTTCTTCTTCTTCTTCTTCTTCTTCTTCTTCTTCTTCTTCTTCTTCTTCTTCTTCTT